CCAAAGCAGAATCAGAGGCTGTCGGCGACGGCTAGAACTGACTTCATTTTCATTTTACACCGATCAGTGAATCGCTAAAGTTGCCGTTGTCATTGCCACTTTAATGTCAGATGGGGCAACTAGTAGTTGGAATTAGAAAAACGTTAGTAACTGTCATTTATTGATGAAGAAGATTGTTGCTGTATAATGTTTGTTGCGATAATTGAAATGTGTATGCGAAAAGGTTATTGGAGCAGCAGCGGACGAGTTTTTTACTTCAGTTTCGTTGAGGCTCGCACAAAAACTAACCCCGCATTTGCAAAACAGCTTTAGGCATTGAGGCAAATCACGTAACCACACCAAATCGCACACACACACGCACGCACACCCCAACATTCACACCTGCATGTACTATACTTATGCAAAACTGAGGCACTGTAAAACTTCCTTCCGGCATTTCCTAGCAAGAAATAAAAACCATACCAATAGAATTTTTCAGCTTTAAATTCCAACGCGCACGAATTGATGACCTTAACTGTTAGAGAACTCTGCTAGAGGGTATGCTACACCTGTCCGTTCTCTAGAGTCTAGACCCGAGCCCATTCACATACAAACACACTCACTCACACCACTCCCCCACACTCACGTACCTACACACTTAACTAAGCCCGCGAACTGGCTAATTAATTGAGTGCACGTAAGGCTTTGCCTTTGGCTGCGACTTTGGCTTTGTTTTCTTTACTTTTTGACCGCTGGAAAAATGCGCACATTTAAACGCTTGGCTGACTTTGATTTAAGCTTTATGATAAATTTGAATCGTAACATTTTGCACTGTTTTGTAGACGTCTCAGTTTCCATTCTTACACATTTGTCCAAACTGTGCGTCTTTTATGCGTCTGTATGTTTTATGTGTCTATTAAGAGATCAATATTTTGCTTTGTTCATAATGATGTTGCTGACGCTCACACATAAATGTGACGGAAATGCGAAGATTTGTTGCACGCGGAAACGACATTATGTGTTTAAATGTTTATTACTTAGTTATTATTTGCCCGAAACCATTGTGGTAAATATCGATGGCGTTGGTGGCATAAAAAGACAGCAGGCGCAGGTATTTTGTGGTCGCCTAACTCTAACAAGAAAGTTGTGTGTAATACGAAAGCGATATGAGTGAGAAATAGGGCAGCAGAGTAATAAAAGTTGTCCACATCTTAATTTCCAAAAATTTGTGTACATCATATATAGGTTATTTGCTATCATTTGTTAGCCATTTCGAAAAGTTCCAACCAAATCTTGAACCTGCAGGTGTTTCATTAAATGCCTAAAAAGCTAGCATAACCAAAGAAACATTAAAAATGTGGCACCCGCCTTAGCCCGGCCAGAAAAAGGAACAAGTCTATCACCTACTTGCCAATTCCTTAAAAAGTCAATAGTCGTAAATAAAAAAAAAATAAAATAATAAAAATAAAATAATAATAAAATTCTGCTTTATAAGCACTTAAGAATATAAATTAGCAATAAGAAAGAAATAGGCATTTTGTTTTAAATATGCAGACGAAAATATGCGGATCGGTTGCATCCAATCTTTCCAAACGGTTTCAGTCAACTGTTCATAAAACTAAACTAACGCTGTAACCAAAAGACATCCTAGTTTACCAAAAAAGTAATGCAACAAGGGACCAACAAAATTTGTATGTATGTATATACTTCAATATATATAGAGATGTTTAGAAAAAGCGCCTCAAATTCATACATTTCGCAAATACACTTTTAAGCCTAAAAGACTGCTGCACTAAAATGTGAATTACAAATTTTTATTCATCATATATTTGAGTAGAAAGAGATAACTGCAACAATTCATACTAAAAGTATGCACACATAACATGTTTACATAAAATATTAGCGTTAAGGCATTGCCCTGGCGGGTCTTCAATTCAAAGAAGTATTATTACTTTTAATATACTGTATACCTTCATGTTTTACATTCCTTTTAATATTTACACACAACAATTGGATGTTACAATATTGTTTCTCATTTGCAGCTCAAATGTTAACAAAAAACCACAAAGAACTTTCCAATATCCATTTTGGTTCACTGACAAATAGTTAAAAATGTTATACCCTTTGCAATGTTATACATATAAAATCATATTTTTATACTCTGTACATGAAATGTACAAGAGTATATTAGGTTTGCGCGAGCTGAAAAATGTAACAGGCAGAAGGAGGCGTGGCAGACCCCACAAAGTATATATATTCTTGATCAGCATGACAAGACGAGTCGATTTAGCCCTGTCTGTCTGTCTGTCCGACTGTCCGTCTGTCCGTCCGTATGATCACCTAGATCTCAGAGACTATAAGAGCTAGAGACACCAAATTTTGCACAAAGATGCCTTATGTGTGTACGCTATACGAGTTTGTTTTATTTTTTTGATTTTCCCCCCCACTTCCACCCTATGGGGGTTTTCCCGCTATTCCATTCGTATAATCGCCTATATCTCGGAGACTATAAGACCTAGGAACACCAAATTTTAGTCCAAGATGCCTTGTGTGAATACGCAGAAAATGTATATTTTAGAATTTCCCTCCCTTCCCCCTCTCCCCGCAAATGCGATTTTCTCTAACTCCCGTAATTCTTGGAATCGAACTAAAATTTAGCAAATACCCCCGGTTAGTTATTATGTGTTCGTATGCCAAGTTTCACTATGATAGACCGATTTAACAAGAAGTTATATCCATAAATATATTTGCTGTTGCAGCGCTGCTCAAGCGCTGCCCAAGCGCTGCCCGCGGCTGTTGTTGATGTTGCTGTTTAGTTGACTGCGAAAATGCTTACACAGACACAAATAGACGCGCATAAACATACATACACTCACATACCCTTTACTTGAGTTCGAATACCGAGAAAGGTAAAATCGATCAAATTTTTTTAAATTTTCTTATTTTTTTTTTTTCTATAATTATTGTAAACATATGTACAGAGTATTTCAAAGTCGGGACACCCGACTTTAGCTTTTTTAATTGTTTTAGATTGGGTTTGATTTAAGCACACTTAACTATAATTGACTGTACAGTTTTCTCTCGCAAAGGTGTATTTTCAAATCGAAACACTTATCCGATACATACTACAAATTCATGGTGTTTTCATATACAAGTATCTTAAGGAGAGAGAGCAGATAGAAAAGAAAAAAAAAAAAGACAAGGCCAGAACTTAATACATAGGCGTTTGTTCTTGTTAACGTTCGAGGATGTTGATAATATAATGATAATTATAAAGTACTACGATATGTTAACTTTTATCTTTTGTAACCAAACTAAGAAACAAGGTCGATTGCTAGGGTCGTGCACACTCGTTTTTTTACCGCCATAATCAAACTAAAAAATACAAAATTCTAACGAGCAGGAAAGTTATCTTTACTGTGTGTTATACAAAACCTAATTTTTCCATGGTCATGGGATATGACTATAACATTCTGAAATTCAATTTGCTTGTCTTTAAAATACAGCTATACTTTTAAATACAAAATCTATATTTAAATCAGTTTGAATGCACTTTGCTTAAATTAGTAGAACCTGCGAAGCCAATTAAGCAGACTCTTCAAGAATATTTGGATGTTACACCCATATGCACTTTTATATGTACATTTATATATTCACTTATGACGACGATTTTGTTGATGCTGCAAAATGTCTGAAAATTGTACATATTATATATTCTTGTTCACAATTTCTAATAACTGCAAGCAAGTAATGCGAAGAACGGGAATTTTCTGAATAAGACATTTTCCTTAGATATATATTTTGACGCTACTGGACAACATTCTATACAGTAAAAAATATACATTATAATTCTATATACGATTAGTTATGTGAGCCACACATAACCCCAATTAAAAAATATCGGCTAATATATGATCGCGCTGTTTCTAGTTCCACTATCTGGAAGTCGATTTTTTTTTTCCACACTTCAGCCTGTTCTGAAAACCTCATCTCATCATCACTTAAATAATATCTGCTTAATAGAATCTGCCATGGTTTGCTCGAATCTAGCCATACTAATAACTTTGCATGAATCATTAGCTATCAATGTCAATAGTTTGCATAATAAATATAAGATATACAAATGTTATTACACACTTTCATATTCAATTAATAGCGAGCATTTGCGACCATAAATAAACGTTAGATTAGTTTAGCTGGAAGCTTCTGAGCTAATTCGCACACAATGACGTGACGCAGCAATTAAATCGATAGCCAATGTCAGGAACTTAAATATGTACTCGTATATGCTCATGAATAGAATACGAGTACAGCTCTAGCACCTGATACTCCACTAATATATTCATTCACATAGTGGTGTTGTATGTGAAAGTAAAAGTTGCAAGTTGTTTGGGTTTTTGAATTCACTACATTTTTTATTTATAGCATTGTCGCAGTTGCAATTAACTTAAATAATACAGAAGTCATTATAGATATTACAATATTCTTCTGGTGTTATCGTTTTTCTGTATTCATTTGCTTGTCTTTACTTTTTGTTCCTCCTTCCTCTGCCATGACGATTTGATTATGATTATGATAATCTGTTTCGTGTCAACGCAAGTGTTGCAAGTGGGTGTGGCATTTTGATGGGCGGTCGTATGTACAAAAAAAATGATGTTTAAATACACAGAGAACTGCATGAATTAACGAGAGACAGGCGGTACGAGAGACAGGACAGAGAGAGAAAGAGTGAGAGGTGAGATGCTAGAGGTTATTTCGTTGTCATGCCAAGGGTGCGGCTGGGCTGTGGATGCACTAGGGTTAAGTATTTACAAAGATGACGAGACTGTCTCAATGGTGAGTGAGTATTGAGCAGGCCGGCCGCACTCCAAGGATGCGCTTGCTTCAGATCCAAGAGCTGGTGAGGTCGTCAACGTGTCGCGGATATACTTAATAAATATGAAGAGTGGGCGTGAGAGTGAGTGTATAGGCGTGGGAGTAAGCGTGAGTGGTGCATTGCTCCCTTGCGCTCCAACATCAACTTAGTAGTGGGCAACATGCGCATGGGCATTGTGGGTGGCATAGCCGTAGGCGGGCACAGCGGCGGCCTGATGCGCCAGAGAGGCATATGGCACGGCTGGGGCGGCAGCAACGTGGTGGGCAATGGACGGGCCATGCGCCAGGAGAGGGGCCGAGTGGGAAACGAGAGCGGGAGCAGCATGTGCCACCACAGCGGGGGCAGCATGATGAATGGTGGGGGCGGTCTTGTGGACGACGGCATTGAAACCATTGTGGTCATCGGCAGTGTACTCCACAGTGCGCACTGAACCATCGGGTTCCACCAGAGAGTAGGAGCCCTTGACAACATCACCATCGCGCACCTCATGCTGCGACTTCACATCGCCGGTGTGGGAGTCAGCAACACCATAGTTGTAGTGATACTTGGGATAGGCCTGCAAATAAACAAAAAGAACTTAGATTTAGAATTCACATATGCGATGCAAGTTTGTTGCCTAAGTCTTTCGTGCGCCATTAAGCCACTTGGCAAATATGTTAATGGCAAATTGCATTCATGGCCTATCGGCCAGTCAGCGTGAGAAAATCTCGCGCACGCCAAATGTCAACAATTACATAACTACTACTTGAAGTGTTGACTCACAAACAAGTCATCAACACCTCAGCTCATCGATTCACATCAGTCTAGCTGAATAGAAGTTCTTGAGCTAATGAGCGTGTCTACGGAGCTAGCTGCTCGCTTAATTGAGCATAACTTATGAGTATGCAATGGTAATTGCTAATTACAAGTAGTGCTTCACTGGGCCAGGATTTTCCTTGATGTTGTTTTTCATATAAGCTTTCTTGGAGTCCATATTCATTTGGACTACATTCCACACTCCAAATTTGTCTTCTATTAAAATATACTCACATAATAGTCCAGACCCTCGTCATGACCTCCATGTCCATGTCCAGCATAGAGTGCTGGCGCGCCAGCATACAGACCGGGACCGCCGTGCAAAACGCCAGCGGAGGCAACGCCCAGGACAGCCAAGCAGACAAAGGACTGCGCGTAAAAACAAAACAAACAATATTTAGATCACAATGTAATTGAATTGATGCGAATATGTTGGTGGGACTCAAGGCACAAGCACAGGATATTTGCTTTTCTTGAGCACTCAAGTATTTTCTTGTATTTATATTGGACACTGTACGAGTAAATCCTTCTTGCGACACTCACTTTGAAGAAAGCCATTGCAACGATATTGATTTAGTCTTTTTGTTTCGCGTGTGTGTGCGGCACGTTGAGCTGAAGACAACTGATAACTAGAACCAAGAAGGAAGCCGCTTTTATATACAAGCCACCGCCCGATCGTCGGCTGCAGCGGCAACAGCCGAGCACCGAACTTCGAACGGCGAGCAGCAATTTCTGTGGCGAGCCGAAAGCCTCAAAATGAATGTTGTTGGCCAGCAACAAAACCAACAACACCAACAACAATAACAGTAACAACAATAGCTAAGCAACAACGTCAGAAGCTGAACAAGTGGCTATGGGCCAAGAAGTTGGCGAGACGAGCGCCGCCAACGACCACGACAGCGTCGAGACGCCGCAATTATTTTATGCTTCGAAATCGAGAGTGAAGTTCAGTTACTTGAAGCGCAACGTTGTTACTGTTGTTATTGTCTTACCGTTCGGTTTGTGTCTTGGCTGTTAGTTGAAAAACTTGTGTGATATTTATTTGGGGAATAAATGAAGTTAATTGCATTTTAATACAATTTAAAAAATGCGTGAAAGCCAATTAACAATAAATGTGAATTTCATAAATATATGAAGCTCTTAAAAATGAATAGAATAAATAATAAAAATGTTATAAATATGTTTTGTTTTTAAAATATTAATTCTCTCCGCGAGCTTTTTATTTCAACATTTGAACGAATCTGAATCCTTATATAAAGCCTTTTTAATTAAAACAAGCTTAAGGAAACGAACAAAAAGAAGTGACGTTATTTTCAGTAAATATACACATATTTTTTTTAATGTTTGAAGCCAATGTTGCTACTTAACTGCTTAAATTTATTAAAGATTTAAGTAGTTGACGAGCAACAGCGCAATATATAGTAATAAATATTTTCAATATAAGCTCCAAAGATTTGGCACATTTATGTAAAGTAATAATATCAATTAAAACACATTTCAAAAGTTTTCATTACAAGATGTTTGTGTAAAAAATAACAAATAAAATTGTATTTATTTATTTAACAAACATGTACAAAATAGTATACAACATTCAAAATAATACAATTTTTCAGCCAAAAGAAAAAGTTGAAATGGGCTCGTTTGGAAAATTCAAAACAAATTATTTTATTGATACAGAAAATTACTTCGTGTTTCATTTGTATGGGGTTTCGTTTAGAAACAAATTGAATCGTTAATTTTAATCATTTTCCAACATACATAAGTATTTTTATGTTTGCAATATTGAGGCGCAGCAACAAACTCGTTGTTACTATGCTTGGTCTTTTTTGTCTAACCTGTGCCTGCCATCACGTTTTAATTGCATTGGCCCTCACAAGCGTTTGTTTATTGCTGCCAACAAAGAGAATCACGTAAAACAGAAAAAATAGCTGCAACACGAACAAAATTAGCAAAAATCAAGAAACAATAGCTTCTAAACACATTTGGGTGGGCGGAGGTGTTGCCGCTTTTAATGTAACTCATATTGCATGTTGTTGCTGTTGCTGTTGCTGATGTTGTTCTCATTGCTGCTGTTGTGGCGGCTGCAGCTTTGTGGTGGTGCAATTTGTTGCAATAAGCTTATCTTACATACTCGTGGCTAATGCAATTTCCATGCATCCCACCACAAATAGCTGCATCGCTTCGAAAGGGCGGGACGCTCACATGATTAATTTAATGCATATGACATATTTGTGCTCTCTGCCCATTTTTAATTAGCATGTAGGCCGCTTTGCTTATTAAGCCAGCACGGCACACGCTTGCGTAAATAAGCAATAAACAAATCTGGAACATAAATATTTCTTTCGAGGCAATAGGTCGCTTCGTTGGCTGTCACTGTGGTTGCCGTTACTGTTGCCTCTTCTGACTCATTACAAGGCGGTGTTGTACACAAATTTTTGCTTTATTATACATTTGTACTTGCCCTGCTTTGGCTCATTTAATAAATTGTCTCAAATTAGTAGCTCTTACTATGCTTGGCTGGCTGCCCGTTCGGGTGCTGACTAACTGGCTGGCTACTAGAGACCTCGTTTACAAAACTTAAATAATCATCTCAAGGTTAGCACGACAATATGTAACGGATCACTAACAATCGTAATCGCAACACAGACAGCAGCGACAACAACTGCGGAGACGACGACGTCGATAGCTGCTCTGCAACAGCTGCAGCTCATTGAGTTTTTCGGCTTCAAGTCCATAATAAGCGCTCATGACAAGCAGCAGGCAGCAAGGTAATAACAGCCACAGTAACAACAACACCAACAACATCAACCACTGCAGCAGCCACTGCAGCCACATTGAATTAGACCACGATCTGATTATGCTTTTGTTTACCAAATGACGCACACAAATGCCGCACACTGTGCCCAATTAATTGAATTTTGTGCAGTGGCTCTGTGAAGCACGATGAACATTGAAAAAAGATAATCCTGACAAACAAATTCAACAATACCTAATCTTTAAAGCTTTGCCCATTAATGGTTTAATGACAATCTGCATATTTGGGTTGTGCCAAGTATGAATGGGCTTACAGTGAAGGGAGATTAGCGAAATATACAAGTTGCAGAACAAGCAACTGTAAAATATCATGGAAACTAATGGATCATTAAAAAAATATAATTTTCTCGTAATGCAGATCAAATGATTTAGATTTATCAACTTTACTTAAATATCATGAATTTGCACTCAGAATGTGAAACAAAAAAAAAAAAAAAATAGACATTAGAAAGGTCGGTAAAACCAACGACCAATTCTTAATAAAAATATAAGCTGTAAAGGTATGTTCTTCGATGCCGAGGCTGTACCCTTCCTTGAGTTTACAGCACCCAGAAGGAAAAATGGTTGGTGAGACAAGTACAAACCGCGATTTCCGTCTGTCTGTTGTAATCACAACTCGGTTTGAACCGTGTATTCTTTTTCTTAATATGTCAACCGACCTATATAGCTGCGGCATGTTTAAAATATTTATGGCCTGTACCCAAAGGGTGAAAGGCTATACTAGTTTTGTGCGAATGTATGTAACACACAGAAAGACCCCACAAAGTATATATATTCTTGATCAGGGTGACAAGCCGAGTCGATTTAGCCATGTCCGTCTGTCCGTCCGTCTGTATGAGCGCAAGGATCTCAGAAGGTACAAGAGCTAGAATTACCAAACTTGGTATCCAGGTTCCCCTAAGCCCTAGGCAGGTCAAGTTTATTTTTTTTATTCTGATACACCCCCCACTCCCCCACAATTCGTGTTTTTTTTCTAAAACTCCCGTAATTCTTGGAATTTTGAAATCAGTTTTATTAGTTACGTCCAGTTAGTGCTTATGTGTCCGTATGCCAAGTTTCATCATGATAGGTCAATTCTGAAGTTATGGGCATAAATAAAATCGCTGCCCATGCTCTGCTTGCAGCGCTGCCCGCAGCTGTTTTTGTTGTTGCTTATATATTATACACGTATATAAACAAGCATAGACAAGTGATGTAAATGTAAATCTGCACAAAAATGTGTTCTATGTATGTATTAAATAAAGTTTCTTAATTAATTTTATAAATTAATTAAATTTTTTTTAATATTTTTTTTTTAATTTTTCCTTTTTGTGCAGAGTACAGGCTATTTTACTGTCGAGCTTGCTCGACTGTAGCGTTCTATCTTGTTTTATTTTATTTACTTATTTATTTATTTATGTTAACAAACATTGACTGTCGACATAGGAAATATATAAAAAATAAAATAAAACATCTTATAAGCTAGAAAAGCCTAAGAAGGATAAATCTAATCAAATTACAATAATATCTAATTAACGCCTCCGACCCGGTGGGAGAATATTATTTGCCCTTCGGCTAGCTGTCAATTGATCTACCGGTAAAAAAAAAAACGTAACAGAGAGAAGAAGCTTAGAATTACTCAAAAGCTAATTTAAATAAAAAGTGAGAAAAAACATTTTAGAATCTTAGACCCGGTGATTTTTTAGCCAGTCCTGCAAGTTATGCCCCGTCTCACAGCCGATCCTGGTCAGGGAATCCGGAGATGGCTGAAAAGAGAGGCTTTTATTATAGGAAGGGGCAGTTCAGTTATTAAGGTATAGTATGTTTTCGAAAACGCCAATTTCAGCATTTTAATGTACAACAATGTACTACAAATATAATAAAAAAATATACTCCCGAAATATGTCACATAAATAAATCTATTTTGCACAAACTGCTTTTATTATTTGATATAATTTTTTATTAAGTTCCTAGTTACCTCTACAGAAAGGGTATTTCATTTTTAGTAAGCATAAATCCAATAGCTATTCTTAAAGCTTGATAAACTTAATCTTGAAGTCAGGCTACATTTGTTTTAGAGGGAACATCTACAAAAATACTGTTGTATTCGAAGGGTGGAAATTTTGTATACATAGATGTAATACTTAAAAGAAGCACAACACTAATTAGTTACTTATCTGACAGCATGTCTGAATTCGAAACATTTCGGAATAGGCTGAGCCCAACGATTATGCATTATTTTTATGCTTAACAAATATGTATGTTATCTATTGAAAACTAAGACTGACCAACACGCACGGGCGTCTCCAACCACGGTGCACTAACAGGCCAGTCAACGATGACAATTACAAATTTGTACAATGCAAAACGTTACAGTTTGCCGACAACAATAATGTGGTTGTTGTAGCTGCTGTGGTTGTTATTACGGTTGCATTATTGGTGCTCGTTTCCTTTTATTTAATTATTCACTCGCGCAACTATTCCACTCAACTCTGCGCTGCATAACGTTTACATTAGATCCGGTCTACGACTAAATGCGGCAGCATATGGCATGTGCCCGCCTATGACTAAAGTGCTCTGATCAGTGCTGAACAAGAATTCCAGGTTCAGAAGTGACCACCACTGGTGCAGCCAAATTCGTAGAAATGTGCAACGTGCCACTCGTGGCAATTTGGCTGCCAGCACGCCCAGGCTGTGGCCAACATCCACACAAATCCAACAGCAACAAATCGTCCCGTCATGTTGGCCACTCGCAGTTCAGATTT